CTTCATCAGCCCGGGAAGCCTCAGGTTCCGCCTCGCCCACCCGGAGGTATAATTCATTGCTTTAAGGGCACGCGCCAGCCGCCGGCACAGGAGCCTCTGCATCCGTTCTTGGCCCATGTTGTAGTACACGGACATCTCCCTTCCAAAGTACTCTTGGCCGGCGGGGGAGTTCATTCCTCAATCTTCGAGCTTGGCGGCCACCACTTCATAGCACCAGGGGAGCCGCTCGTCGGCCTTCCATCCCTCGTCCAGGAACTTTTGAACGGCCTCATCAGCGGCCTTCACAGCGGCAGCCTCGGCCTCGATTTTGGCCTTCACGGCTTCATCATTCTTGCGCCGCTCAGCCTCAAGCGCCCTCTGGCTCTCCGCAAGTTTGGCCAGGGCATCGTCCCTGGCAGCAGCTGCCTTATCGGCTCTCTCTTGCAGAGCCTTGGCATCCTCTCGGAGCCGATCCAAGCAGGCCACCGCCTCATCGGCCGAGGCAGCCTTTTGCTCGAGCTCCTTCAGATGAGCAATCTCCCGTTGCTGCCTTTTGTGGCTCTCCATGAGCATGAAGGCACCCTGTAAAACAAAGGTAAACAAAGACTCAGGCAATGACTTCACACAGACGACGAGAAAAACAACAAAAAAAAGGAAATGGAACTTACTTGGACGATGAGGTCCATCCCGCCTTCATACACCTTGACGTCCCCGAGCCTCTTGAGGTAGGCCCGATCCTTGGCCGGCATGGCCTGGGCAAGCACATCATGGCCGAGGACGCCATCGTCAAAGACACCCCCGCCAACGGGGTACTCCACCATTTTCTGGTAGGTGGCAGCGGCAATCTCCTTGCCAGCCCGCTTCGTCCGAGTCTCCTGGCCGAGAGGGAGCGGCTGAGCAACGACGCTGGAAGGAGCAGCGGTAAGATCCACAACGGCGGCAGCAGAGCCAGAACCACCATCGTCCACATTGGGGACGGTCAGAACGCCGACCTCATCGGCATGGGAAGGAGACAGCACCCTCTTCGTCTTCTTAGCGAGATTCAGGCCAGCCTCGGTCAGCTTCTTCTGGCCGTCAGTGGGAGGCCGCTTCTTCTTTGACTGGGCAGGCTTCGGGGCCGCACCAGCAGTAGCCCCGCCCCCCTCGGCCGCGGCACGCCTCGCCGCCTCGGCCGCCTTCGCAGCCAGCTCCTCGGCTGCCTTGGCCTTGGTTATGGCCATGATCGAACGGCGATCCATCACAAAGTCTACACAAAGGAAAATGCACAGGTTAGCAAGGCAAAAGAACAAAAAACAAAGGAAGAAAGCCGGAGAAAGTATTACCATCGGCCTCAGCAGGAATGCCCAAATCCGGGCCATCAGCCTCTTCGAAGGTAGTGGTCATCCTCGGCCACAGTTGGAAACCGTCCTCCTTGTCGCCATACACATAGTACCTAAAGAAGCCGAGGGCGGTCATCTTATATTCGGTGATGTAGTCTTTCACGCTCCTCGTCCCCCCGTCCAGGAACGCCTCCACCTGAGCATCCAGGATCAAACTCTTCGGCGGGTCGTGCAGATTGAACCTCCCAGTGTGGCCGAGAGAGGGAAATTCAGTGCCGTTCTCACCAAGGGACACGAAAACGAACTTGCTCTTCCATCCATGGATGGACGAAGGCAAGTCCGTGAAGCTCCTCTTCTTCGGCAACTGTTGGAGAGTAGCATAGGCCGCACAGGTCTTGTGGCTTCCCCGGCCAATCTGATAAAGGTTCATGAACAGAGCTGTCGTCGGCCTGTAGCCCAACTCCTCACAGCGGAGCAAGAACCCCACCATCAACGAGTAGTTGTTCGGGGTCAGCAAGACCGGAGGGAGTCCCACCATGTCCAGATATTCAGTGATGAAGGGATGAAGGGGAAACCTCAGCCCCTTGGCGAAACTCATCGGGTATACTCCGAAGTACCCCGGTGGCGGATTGAGTACATGATCCGTCGGCCTGGGTGCCCTAACCCTCCCGAACGGCCCCACGTACATCTGGGCAACTAAGTAATCAGCCGCGCTGCTCTCCGGCTTGATCAGGTAAATATTTGTGAGATCCAGGTAGGAGACGCCTGGCCCACTCTTCGGCCTCCTTACTCTCTTCGGCTTCTCTGCTCCCTTCACGGCTGACACCGGTCTCGGGCACGGAATAGCAGCGGAAGTGGACGCCCCGTCCACCACTCGGGACGCACCTGCGTCCTCACCTTTTGAAGACGAGGCGGACTCCTCGTCCTCACCTTCGTCGTCCATTGGCTCTCCGGACTTGTAAGGACTTAAACGCTCTATCTCTTCCTCGGACTCCTCAAGCACCTCATAGTCGAGGGACCTAGTGGAGGGCTGGTCGTCGTACGGATAGTATTCTTCGTCTAAGCTCTTCATCATAACAACTATTACGAGCCTAAGGGGAATTACTTCGGATCTAAGGCGTTTTGTCCACTAACACTAGATCAAGGCTCAGGGAAGCAAAGTATGCAAAGGAATTGAAGAACAAGTCAAGAACTAACCTTGAAGGTATGAAGAACTCGAAGAACACCTTGAAGACTCTCTCTCTCTCTCTAGAAATTTGGGCAGCACTTCGATATCTCAAGAATGCAAGTAAGGAACCGCTTCGGAGGATGGGGGGGTATTTATAGACACTCTCCAACGGTCACTACACGTGGCACCATATCAATGGCCACCTCAGCGGTCACCTTCCCAGCAGACGATGAGGTGCCACCCCTTCAGAAATGGGCCGGGCTCGTGAACTAACCTACCGGCGGAGTAAAAGCCTACGGATCACACGGACAACGAGCGCCCACAACGGCCTATATGCTTGCCAGCTTCACAAGTGCCAGCAAGCGCCCACAACGGCCTATATGCTTGCCAAGTTCACAAATGCCAACAATAAGGAGATGACAATGTCCAGGAACGTCATGAACGCCCGTGACGGCCACAGAACCAAAGGAACAAAGAACCCGCAGCCATCGGCTCTCCGTAACGACCCTTGATGATAACTCTTTACAAGCGATCTGCGCACAAGGGTTCTCCCACAGGGTTACCTTGGCCAGAAAATCGCCATAAGGGTTGGATTCAGGGGCACTACGGAGAGGCCGCTTCGGCGAGGGACTCAAGCAACTCCTTCACCCCTCACACTCTTCGGCCTGAAGCAGTGGGGGACTGGGGGACTACATCGGCCTCAACAATACAGACAAAGGAAAAATGCAAACACAAATGTAACCACAAAGCATGGCCACACCGTCCATATATCACATGGAGCCTCGTCGGCCAAAGGCACATAACACCGTCAGCAACGGCCAACAGGCCACCTGAGGCAAGGACATTCATCGTCCTCCGCCAACAGTTAATCATAATGGGCTCTCTGGCCAAGGACACGAAAGCCAATCAGCGACGGCCAAAAGGAGTGTGCAAGCACCCTCATCGGCCACCCAAAGGAAAGGACGCCATCGTCCTCGAAGCAAGGTTCAACCTCATCGGCCCAAATGTAAATTTCTACCATCAACGTCCAAGGAAGGGAAAACGCGCCTTCAACGGCCACCATCGAAGCAGGGCACTCATCATCCCCAAACGAACACACCAAGGAAACAACGGCCTCCCCGTCCACAGCGAGGAACAGATAACGGCCAAGCACAGAACAAGATCACCAAAATGGAAACAGCGCCAACGCCGCAACAGCCAACGGCCTGGGAGTGCCCACATCGGCCAAAAGCACCAAAGCACGGGAATCTACTCTCCTTCACTTCGTCTACGTCTCAGCTTAGAGAGTGGGGGACTCCTGATGGAGTATATGGGTCCGAGCCCCCGGACCCACATACTCAGAAGAACAGAAAGCACAAGACACTGAGTGGTGCCCTCGTCGGCCAAGGGACTCCCGTCGGCCGAGAAGGTACCAACTCAGAATATGGTCCTGAAGCCAAGGAACCCGGGTGCCCTCGTCGGCCGTGCCCTCGTCGGCCACGCCCTCATCGACCACGAAGACCTCACAGAACTGGATTTTACACTTACTCATTTGAACAGCCCATTAGTGGCTTTGTATTCGGCCGAGTAGCGGTCCAGTTGTAAATGGGCCTCCCAAGCCCAAGGCTTGGGAGCCCAGCCCGTATTTTCCCTATAAATACTTCCTCTGGAGGTAGTTATCAGGGTTACAAATTCATTCTATTGAAGCATATTATTGCACTTCTCTCTCTAGCTCTCACTTCTCTATAGATATACTCTATCATATATATATATATATGTATATATATATATATATATGTATATATATATATGTATATATATATGTATGTATATATATATATATATATATGTATATATATATGTATATATATGTGTGTATATATATATGTATATATGTATATGTATATATATATATATATATATGTATATGTATATGTATATATATGTATATGTATATATATATGTATATGTATATGTATATGTGTGTGTGTGTGTGTGTGTGTGTGTATATATATATATATATATATATATATATATATATATATATATATATATATATATATATATATATATATAGGGGTGAGATCACATACAAACCATGTTTAACTTACTAACCTACAAACTCAATAATATGCAACACTTTGAACTTCAATACGCAGTACAAATAATGTAAAGATGCACTTTTTGAATTTCAATATGCAATACAAATAATGTAAATATGAAACTGTTATTTTATAGCTTGAATAATATGAAACACTTTGAACTTCAATGTGCAATACAAATAATGTAAAGATGATTTGAATGGAAGAACTACTTTGTATGTGATCTCACCCCTACATCTTTACATTATTTTTACTGCATATTGAAATTCAAAGCGATGTATATTATTGAGTTTGTAGGTTAGTATTTTAAGCATGGTTTGTATTTGATCTCTTTTATATATATATATATATATATATATATATATATATATATATATATATATATATATATATATATATATATATATATATATATATATATATATATATATATATATATATATATATATATATATATGAGCAGCCAACCTCATTCTTCTTGAGAAGGTAGCGCCGAAGTTTGCATCTTTCGTGCAACCGGCAATGGCTGACGTAGAACACGATGTAGCGGCAGGGCAGCCAAAGAAGAGAACATTCAAGAAGTTCAGCTTCAGAGGTGTAGATCTTGATTCCCTCCTTGATATGTCTACTGATGAATGATGATCTCGTCAAGCTCTTCAGTGCACGTGCCCGCAGAAAGCTTGGGAGAGGTTTGAAAAGAAAGCCTTTGGCTTTGATTAAGAAGCTTCGCAAAGCGAAACTAGAGGCCCCACAAGGGGAGAAGCCGGGTCCAGTGAAAACTCATTTGAGGAATATGATTATTGTTCCAGAGATGATAGGCAGTGTTATTGGAGTTTATAACGGGAAAACTTTTAACCAGATTGAAGTGAAGCCAGAGATGATAGGGCATTACTTGGCTGAGTTCTCCATCTCATACAAGCCTGTCAAGCACGGTAGGCCCGGTATTGGTGCTACTCACTCATCAAGGTTCATCCCACTTAAGTGATGCCTTTTTTGGGAAACATCAAATTTGTTTTAATTATACGTATTTTTTATTTCTCTCAACACATGTAAGAGTGAAACTAGTTTTTACTTTGAGGTTAGAGACAATTGATTGCTGAATGATTGTACTTGGTATGTTTTTATGACGTTACAAATTGGAAGCTCTTGTTAGTTATATATATATATATATATATATATATATATATATATATATATATATATATATATATATATATATATAGGTTTTGGTTCAAATAAGAACATGATCTTAGGAGAGAAATGAGATGAATCTGGACCGTTAGATTTGCTTTAAATGAAATTCAATGTGCATTAGATGAAACTGTAATATGCATTAGGTGAAATTGAAATATGCAGCAGAAATGGTACGATACAGTGGAATTATGTGAAGTTGAATTGTGCATTAGATAAAATTGAAATATGCACTAGGTGAAACTGAAATGTGCAGAATAAAAAGGCCCAATTTGATGTTATTTTTGTACCTTTTATTCCGCACATTTCAGTTTCACCTAATACAGACTTGAGTTTAAATTTTTATTCTGCACATTTCGATATCATCTGATGCACATTTCAGTTTTACCAAATGCACAATCCAGTTCCACATAATACAATCCAACGGTCCAGATTCGTTCTCATTTCTCTCCTAAGAGTCCGTTCTTAGTGGACCGTTGGATTGTATTATGTGGAACTGAATTGTGCATTTGGTGAAACTGAAATGTGCATTAGATGATATTGAAATGTGTAGAATAAAAATTTAAACTCAAATGTGCATTAGATGAAACGAAAATGTGCGGAATACAAGGTACAAAAATAACATCACGTCGTACCTTTTATTCTCCACATTTCAGTTTCACCTAGTGCACATTTTAATGTCATCTAATGTGTTGGTCCAAAATAGGACGCTCGTAGGCTTTTAGGAAAGCTACGTACGACACTCAAGCAGGAATTAGGAAAGCAAGAACGAGAATGGAATGTAGCTATGAGATTTAGTTGCCAGAAATAGCATATAGAAATTGTCTCCCATAATCCGAATTACAACCCGCCTTTTATAGGCGTATACAAATCGTAACCGCTACTGATCATAATGACTGATTAATTACAACATTAATACGAAATTAAATACATAATTAATAGTGCATTAATTGTTTGACTGTTACTCTTTCGGGCTGGGAGGTCGGCCGGACTGGCAGACTCGTCCGGTGTACTTGAGTGATAAGATTTCATTAGTCCGTTATTCAATGTTAAAATTACACACACTTAACAAGAGTAAACGCAATCATATCACTTAAAATATCTTTTCAAATGTTTCAATCTGTGATTTTTTTTTAAAAATCTTTTTGCTAAATAACCGCAGGAGAGATTTTTAACACTTATCTTGTGGTCGAGTTCGCTCAAAGTTTTTTATACAAGAGCATTAGATTGGTTGACCTCTACGACATCACCTTCAGATGTGCTAATTTTTTTTTGGACTGAACGCTTTGTTAGGCGCTAGGAGAATGGGAATTGGACCAGGGATCCACAGCAGTGCTGGCGTGATCTCAACAATGACTCTCCAGTGTTAGTGGCGAAATCAGGTGCAGCATTCGGTGCATTGTCGTCTTGGATGGTGAGCACAACTTTCGTTCAATTGAAATTCCAGATTCTTATGTTTTGTTCATCTTTTTTTGAGATTTCGAGAACAATCTTTTTGGCATTCTTTGTGATTCCTACTAAAGTGATCTGAGAGACAATAATAGCTCTCAATGAAAGCACCAATGTTGGTCCAAAATAGAACGCTCGTAGGCTTTTAGAAATTTGTGTTTCTCAGCACCAAGAGGTTTTGTCATAATGTCAGCTAACTGCAAACTTGATTTCACATGTTGTGTTAAAAGAAATCCTTCATGCTGTTTATCTCTAACATAATGATAATCTACATTTAAATGTTTAGTTCTCTCATGGAAAACTGAATTCTGAGCAATGTGTTCTGCAGCTTTATTATCACAAAAAAGATTGATGGGTAGTGGAACTTGAATTTGCATATCTGTGGGTAATCTTTCTATCCGGACCATTTCACTTGCAATATAAGACATGCTTCTATACTCTGCTTCTGTTGTACTCTTGCTAAAAGGTTTTTGTTTTTTAATTTTCCAGGATACTAATGAATCACCAAGGAAAACACAATATCCACTCAATGATTTGCAACTGAAAGCACATTGTCCTCAATCAGCATCACTATAAGCCTTCAGGTAAAGATATGATTTAGCATAATAAAATAGACCAACATTTATAGTTGTTTTCAAATATCTAACCACATGCATTGCTGCCTGTAAATGTGGTATTCTTGGTTGACTCAAGAATTGGCTTAAATGTTGGACTGAATATGATGTGTCAGCTCTTGTTAGGTTGAGATACAGCAGTCTTCCAATTAATCTTCTGTAATAATCTGGATTGGGTAGCAAATCTCCTTGATCAACAGATAATTTCAATCCCTTTGGTAATGGGAAATGAGTATCTTTGCAATTTTCCATGTTTAGATCTCTGAGAATGTCAATGATATACTTCCTTTAATTGAGCAATATTCTTGTCTCATTTCTTGTTACTTCTATCCCTATGAAGTATCTCATTAATCCCAGATCTTTGATAGTAAATTTCTTATCAAGTCCTTTCTTCACAAATTGAATTTCTGTTTGATCATTCCCAGTAAGTAGCACATCATCAACATATACTAGGGCAATAGTATGAGATCCTATGGTAGGATTCAGTTTTGTGAAAAGTGAATAATCTTGTTTGGACTGTTTGAAACATTGACTTAATAAATAGTTGGTCAATTCAATATTCCATTGTCTTGAAGCTTGTTTCAACCCATATAAAGATCTCTTTAGTCTGCAAACTTGATCTCCTTTGTCTTTGTAATACCCTTCTGGTGGTATCATAAAGACTTCTTCATCAATATAGCCAACAGCATTGTTAATATCAAGCTGGTGTAGAGGCCATTCCTTGATAGCAGCTAAAGCAAAAATTGTTCTTAGTGTAGTAAGTTTTGCTACAGGGGAGAAAGTATGTTTATAATCTTTATCCTTCACTTGATTATACCCCTTAGCAACAAGTCTTGCTTTAAATCTTTCAACACTTCCATCTGCTTTATGCTTGATTTTGTATACCCATCTTGATCCTATTGCCCTTTTTCCTGGGGTACTTGAGTCATTTCCCATGTTTGATTAGACTCCAGTGCCTCAATCTCCTTGTTCATTGCTGAAACCCATCTGTCATCCTTAAGAGCTTGTTAGTAACTATTTGGTTCATGTTCAATGATTACATTGCATAAAGTAGCTATGTATTTTGGGTCAAAAGTAGTCAACTTGTCTAACATGTGAGCATGAAAAGATGTTGAAATATTTCTATTGTTCTGAACAGGAAGTTTAATAGGACGATGAAATCCTTGAAGTTTTGGAACAACCAGAACATTTTCAAGGATGATATCTGAAGTTAACTTCAACTTTCCAACTTTATGAACAAGTGTAATAGATCCATTAGGTAACCCTACCATAACAGTTTTTTAGGTGTTTGATGTCATACAACCACTCAATTTTAGAAGTCATGTGATCAGAAGCTCTTGTATCAATTATCCATTCTTGATGCACAATAGGGCTACCTGCAAAGCTGACTTCAACATTTGAGCAGCTTGCTCCATTTTGTTTTGAGATCATTTTCATTACTTGTTGAAAAACTGTGTTAACAATTCCATTCATAAAAGATTGATCAATAGCAATTTCTGAATTATTTCTGTTTCCTAATATAGGAAATTCCTCCATTGGAATATCTTCTTCAGAATAGTCAAGAACATTCACATTATCAGCTTTCCTGAAGTTATTGTTTCCTGAGGTATTCTTCCTTATATATTTTCCAGAACCTGCTGCTGAATTTCTTGGATTCTTTTCAAGATATAACTTGTAACATTGGTCCTTTTTGTGCCCCTTTCTTCCACAATATGCACATTCAATCAATTTGAAACATTCTTCCTTATTGTGTCCCTTTTGGTAACAATGAGTACATTTCTTTCCCACAGCGGCAGCATAACCATAGTACACATCATATTCAGTTTTGGTTCTTTTCCAATTGTCCTCTCTTCTTTGTTCATCATTTGTTTTGTTATTTATTCCTTTTATTGAAAGAGAAGCATAAGCATTTGCTTCTGTTTATCCCAAAATACTAAACAATCAACAAACATAAGCAGTGAAGAATAAGCAGATAGAAAGATATGGAGATAATCAAACGAATCTGGTATACCATGTAAACTGGCCGCTGCTCTCCTTGGAGAAGGAGAGCAGCGGCAAACCCTATCTCTCTATCTCGCCTCTGCGCCTCTAAAGCCTCTATTCGATTATTAGGGTTCCCGTAAGTTAGCCTCCTTTTATAGGAGAAGTTGGTTAACTTACGGGTTACAAGGAAGCCCCCGGGCTGATACACATTTGTGGCTCGTATTACACGTTTAATTGATAACTACACAAATACAAAGATAACTAACTAGATTGAACACCATAAAATATTCCCAACAATCTCCCCCTTGGTGATCAATCGTGTTGAATCAGCATTGCAGCGCAGATATCTTTGTCTTTGTTGTTATTGAGCTTCCTTTGTCTTTGAACTTGACTTCTGAGGAAGGCTATCTGAAGAAATCTTTGCAATCTCCCCTTTGATGTCTTCTTGACAATTTGATCTTTGATTCCGGGGGTTGAGGGACCTTCAGTATCTTGCATGTAGTCCTTGCCTTCCAGAAGTTGCTCTTGATCAGCTTGGATGAAGTCCGGTGACGCCTCTAGAATGAATATTCTTTGGAGAATAGGAGGCGCCCATGGAATTCATCTTCAGGACACGAGTATTTAACCTCTGTCTCCTCCACAATGTAGTCTTTTTGACTATTTGGAATGAATGCTTTAGAGGAGAACTTGTCGGTGGCACAGCGGAACATAATGATGGTTAACTTGTGAGCGTAGCTGACCATTTGAGTTG